TGGTTAAATATCCTAATTTAGTCGCGAAAGGGAGACATGTTGTTCGTATGAGAGCTAATACTAGTTATCCTTGCAGTGTTAGAAATCTACCATTGTATTAATGGATTTACTATTTGACAATAAAATCCTGTAACAATTACATGATGTTTTATTTATATTTTCACAAATATAAGATACATCTATACACACACTTCTATGTTGCCTAAGATGTCAGCAATTACATCATATTTTTGAATAATACTTTTTTTGACAAAAAGCCCTATACTTACGTCACGCTTTAGGCTATATATTTTAACGCGATTAAAGTTAGGGGGTAAATATTTTGCATAAAAACTTTAATGTGAGAAAGAGACCATAAGTTGCTGCCAACATAAAGGAAGCAAGGTTGCCATGATTTGTCATCGTGTCATGTCTTTTTGACATTTGTAATTGATAATTTGACACATGTAAACAATAAAATAAAATGTTCATAATTTTATGTGGATAAAGACGCACAGGAACAGCTATCTTTGATAAAATTGTTGCACAACTCTCGTCTCGATTTGATTACTATGAGCTTATATGGAGGTGCGTGCACACTACCTTTTTAGTTGTGCTAAACAGTTGAATTGGCTGCATAACAATCGACAATCGCACAACGGTTGTCCGATAGTTTATTTAAAGGTGTGCGCCCGCTCTAACATATATTCTATTTGCTCAGTAGTTAAGCATTTAACTTGCAATCTAGCTTGGTTTCGAATCCTGCCATATACCAATGCCTTTTTCCATTTTCAAATTTCGTATTCACGTAACTGACGTTATGGTGAAGGAAGGATGTGCATAAATTTAAATATATGTGTGAAGTCAATCCGTTGTTGGCCACATTGACTATGGCGTAGTCACTAACTTAGGGTAGGTTCCGAGCTCATTGGGGACGTAGAGTGAGCTGATGATGAGCATTCAAAGAATGTACATACAATAGTGCCAAAGTCAATATACGATCTCCAATAATTTTATCTATCCCCTGTATTTGTAACAAATCAAACAATTCCTTTGATTCGAATTCCAAGGGGAATAAATGTAATTTAGTGTGTAAAAATAGTTAGGGCCTGTCCCACCACTGGCAGATACATAGATAGCTTAAAAATGTCACTGTCAGATAAGGGAACTAAATCCGATATTTCAATAACATACACACGGTGGATTGCTATTAGACAATTTTCAATTTGGTGGGACAGGCCCTTAGTGTGAATGCAGTGATAATGTTCTTTGTTTTATAACATAAGGTGGCAAACGAGCAAGCGGCTACCTGAATCCGCCAAAATGGCGAAGCGACCGCTGCCCATAGACATCCGCAATTGCAGATGCGTTGCCTACCCTTATCCGACAGAGGAGACGCACATAAAGAGGTTCGTTGGTTCATATCTTTTGTTTTGTAACCAATTGGTATTTATAAAAAAGTGTAAATCATTTAGCTTTGTTATTGTAGTGTTATGCTTAATAATGAAAATGTTAATAACTTTAATGTAATAAATATATTGATTACTTTAAAATCGTGAATCACGAGTTTGGTATATTGTAATTAATGGCCACTGAAATTGAATAACAGTTATATGAAATCCATCATTGAAACAACTTTTCAAGTAAGACATTTAAAAGTTTTTATAGTTTACAAAATTATCAATAAGATAACCACAAAGTAAATACTTGTATTTACATTTTATAATGCCCACAACACTAGAAAAAAAGCCAATATTTATTGACCAGACTATGCTCTACATTTGTGCCGAATTTCATAGAGATCCGTTCAGCCGTTTAGTCTACAAACTCTAAGAAACATCCATCCATCTAAACTATCATTTAAAATATTGGTAAGATATTTCGTTATATGAAAAACACCAAAATTTTTCTGTATTTGTTAAATAAGTATGTATATTAGTTTATATATTTTATGGCATAGTTCCCGATTGGGCGACCGCTCAAGGCACCTGATAGAAAGGGTCAAAAAAAGCGCCTTAAAAATGGCGACAATGGCGACATTTCTAAGCCGCTTTGAATTGATTATTCTCAGCATTGTTACTCTAAACACATCCATTTTGAATAATGTTACAATGCTTAGATTAACTCTATCTTTGTGGAGAGTTTTTCGATTCGTAGCTATTTCCCAAATATAAAACTTAATTATTTTCTTAAATTACTGACTAAATCCATACATTTGTGTGGTGCCGGAGCCCAAACTTTAGTCCCTTTTTCTTTCCATCCTTTGCTTAAGAGGAAAGAATGAAAAGGAAAAGTGGATTTGATGGTGAAGGAGACGCATAGGAGGGGGAAATGCCCTCTTCATGTGCGTCTCCTCCTCCGTCAGTTAAGGATAGGTAACGCATCTGCAATTGCGGATGTTTATGGGCAGCGGTCGCTTTCCATTTCGGTGGATTCCGGTGGCCGCTTGCTCGTTTACCACCTTACATAAAACCTTATATAAAATAAATCGTTATTACAGAATGCAGAAAATATGTATTGTGATAACTTTAGCGCTGTTTGTATCGTGTTATGCGGAGCCGGCAGACAGAAACGATCAGTGGAGAAAGAACAATGTTTTGTTGAAGAATTTTGATGCTTTCTATTTGTTGATGTAAGTCTTTTGGCTAAAATTATTATGTTTATTTACACTATTACCATTTCTTCAGTATCTATACTAATATTATAAAGAGGAAAGATTTGTATTCGTAAGTATTGGTATTGTAACTACTTGGCCGATTTTAAAAATTCACTTCCACTTCACCTTCAACACCTTCACTGTTAGCAAGGTTATTTGTTTGTGAGTTACATTTGTTTTTTATTACTTTTTTTTAATTTCACGCGGGTGAAGTCTCTAGTAAAAGCCTAGTGTAGAACAATGTCAATAGACCGATCGATTTCCATATTCCGTTTGAACATAATTTTGTTTGTTAGTCCCGAATCTTGACAAAATACATTTGAAGAATGATTTTTTCTTCTTTTCTCTCATTAAGCTATTACTAAATTATCACAGGCCAGTAACAACAAGTGAAGCTAAAATAAGAAGCAAGCGTTTCGTCGCTGTATTATCAACAGCACTTATTTATTATTCAACGAGCAATGCGGTCGAGAAACTGGACAGAGTTAGAGAAGCTGTCAACAAAACTAAGGCAGAATTGGACCAACCTGCGGACGCGTTAGCCGGAGAAATGAGAGCATATCTCACATTACTTAGAGATGTTATTGGACAGGTTGGGATAGTTTTATTATATTAACTACCTTTGGACTATCGTACATCTGTTTCTTATTCCGTAGCTTATGTTTAAGTGCGCACACTATTAGATTTTTAGTTGTGCAACCAAACAATTGAATGTTCTGCGGAACAATCGACGATCGCACATAGTTGAGCGATAGTTTAGTCAATGGTATGCGCCAGCTCTTACTGTTTTTACATGCGTTCTTATGACCTTTTTTACATCATCTTCAACATGATATTGTAAACTTGTAAAATTGTAAACCCTATTAATTCTGTTAATTTTCAGCCAATAAACGATGTTAAAGCAAGCTGCTCACCGAAAACAACACAAATAGACTGTGATAATGAATTGAAGAAATATCACAAAATGAACAAAGAGAAATGCAGTGAATATGATAAAAATTTAGAACTTTACGAGAAATCTAGACATTTCTTTGCCGGTGATGAATTTGGTAGATTCATGAAAACTGTACCCGAGGTATTTGAGAATGGAGATGAAATGGCGCTTGCGTTCTTCGTTGATATGGTGTTAGTCGAGTTCATAGATTTAGTTAGAGAAGGAAGAAGTTTGTACCGTACACGAGCGTATAACAAGTATCGCTGTAATATAAGTAATCTTGCTTTGTTTTGATACTAAAGACATTTAGTTCTTGGTATTATATAATAAAGCGACTTGAAATTATTGTTGTTAATTATTTGAGGAACATTTCCTTTAAAACTACACATGAACAATAAAAAAAAAATCTAAAAGCTAGCTAATTTTAGAAGAACAGTCAGAAAATGAGGGCAATGAAAGACATAATTGTTTGATTTTTTTATTGGCACGGTTCACAGGCAGTTAATCTATGTTACAAATAGGCACAAAAACTAATCACTTATTTTATCCATGTCTCATTAAATATCTTCTCGCATTTGCTACGCTTTCAACATCTAAGTTTTGCTCGTTCGCGTTTAATTTTAAAACATCGTTAACTGTTTCAAGATTATTTGATTTAACAGCCAAAGAATCGACTCCAACTAATTTGTTTAAACCGTTTTGAGCGTTAGCATTTAAATTTAGCAAATCGTTATTTGCTACTTTCGCATTCTTTCCTAGACCTGAATGTAATCGCCTTAGTATATTGCTTAAAATTCTTCGATTGTTCAAATTCTTGGTATTTAATTCGCTTTGATTAAGTGCGTCAAGTTCTGATACAAGATTATCAGAATTAACTTCAACTCCACTTCTCAGTTCATTTTTACCGATTGATAAACCATTCAGTTCAGTTTTTTCGAATAAACTTAGTAGATTATCGATATCGTAATCAGTTAAGTCTACCAGTTTGTTGTTTAAGCCGACATCATTCAAATTGTTCATGTTAAGCAATAAAGCTGACAGATCAAGTGCATCGTTGCTTAAAGGAATATCATCATTTAATCCACTTCGTCCTTTTAAGGCATAGGGGACATAAGTAGTATAAGGTTGGTACCATCCTTGGGGTCTATATGGTCGGGGTACTGGTCTGTTATACGGCCTATAGGGTACTGGATTTGGTAAATCATACGGGGAATATACCACTTTATTAGGACCCCACCCTTTACTGTGACCTAATACCAAATTTCTTAGACCGTTACCTAAATATCTTCTATTCTGAGTTTCCAATTCAATTTCCGCTGCAGGTAGTCTGGTTTCTACTGTTACTTCAGAATCTAAGCTATTTTCTTCATTCGATAGATTTTCATGTTCCCTATTTGATGGTTCCGGAGTGTTAAGAGAGTTAAGACCGGATTCTCCGTCTACATTGAGACCATTGCTGAGACTATTGGGACTTAATGAGTTTACCAATAAAGCTGGCTTGCTGGATTTCAAACTATTTACATTACTGGCATGCAAGCCACTGGAACTAGTTAGGCCATTAGAATTACGATGAAGGTTAGAGCTCCGTACTAAATCAAGACCATTCAAATTACTTTTACCAGATCTACTAAGGTCTTTTTGATTGGCTAAATTATTTAAAGCGTTTCTCAAATTGTTGTTATTAACATCGCTTAAAGTAACAAGAGCACTTAATGCATTCAGCTTTCCTTCATTATGATGATCGACTGCATTTAATAAATCCTCCTCGTTTAATCCACTGCCACTTCTTCCCATTAAAACAGATCGATCCAATAGCACTGGTTGTTGCAATCCAAGTTTAGTTGCTTCTTTTAATGCGTTAAGACTTACTTTCTGATTATTTAAATTAGCTGCACCTAATAAACCGCTTCTGCTTAGTTCTTTTAAAAGATTCGAGTTATCTAAGTTTGAATCTCCTAAAACATTCTCTACGTCATTGGCGTGGTTATGAACACGGTTTAATAAAACATTCTGATGTTCCAAATTCAAATGATTTTCCAAATCATTCGAATGAACATTGTTGAGTAGATTGAGGCTGTTTACCCCATTTAGGTTAGCTCCGCTGAGTCGTAGTTTAACCAAATTGTCGGCATTACTGTTAACAAGCCCGTGGTTGAGTCCTAAATTACCATGACTTACGCCATTCACACCATGTACATTCCCTGATCTGTAGTATACACCACTTACGCCACTTCTACTGAGACCATTGGATTCAGATTGACCGTTTAATTCGTCGGCTGTGTGTTGGTCATTTAAATTTTGTTCTAGGTTATTGTTCAGCAAATCTCCTAAGTGGTGTTTAGAAACTACAGCCCATCGATTCACAGTGGATAATAAATTCTCTTTATCTCCATTCAAATTTACATTGTTGACACCATTTACATTATCGCTATTTACCTCATGTAATGCTGATCGTTGTACGATTACATTTTCAAGGGATTTCAATCCTCTACTATTGGTTAAACCATTTCTCTCAAGTACGTTCAATCCACTTAAGCCGCTGACGCCATTTCCAACAACACCATGTTTGTTAAGAGCAATCAAAGCTAACTGACTACCATCAACACTGACTTGGTTTTGGTCATTAAGTCCGCTTCTAGTAACAACATTCAGTCTTCCATTCTTAACTGCATTTGCGTGGTGTAATGCTTCAAGTCCCTTTAAAACGCCATTCACGTTACCAAGCGAAGGATGTCGTAAATTAGCATGATTAGTAAAATCATAAACACCTACACCATTCAAATTTGATCTCAACATGTCCTGATTATTTGCACTTGCAACATTGGAATCCTGTTCGTTTTGTCTAGACAATCTATTAGCTGAATCTGAATCAAGATTCAAGTTGACTTCAGATACGGCTGAATTGGAGTCACTGTTGAGTCTTGTTAAGTCCAAATCATTTCTGCTATTGGCGTCACTATTGACATTGCTTTCAAGAGAGCTGTCCGAGTTCAAAGATGCGGCTAGTTCTACATCGCTACGTACGTTAGGTACAGCGAAGCAATAGAACAGCCAAAGAATTGTAGGAGACATGATATCTGGAAAAATATTGGTTTTTAGTTGATCTATTTTTAGGTCAGAATTTAGAGATGATGGTAGCGAATTAATTATTTGTTGTATATTCTATTTTAGAGAACTGAAAACTTTAACTCTAAAAGTACTCGTAGATTATTATGATAAGAGTTAAGTGACTAACAATGAACTAGATCCTTATCTAAAGATAGGAATTCTCTGCTTTCTTGATTCCTAGTATTCCCAGTTGAAGAAGTAAAGATAACTTGAATATTAAGTTTATACTTACATATTCACCTACAGTCTTTGACTTGGAATGAAAATTATTCGTAATTTACAAGCTTTTATAGCTCATATCAATTATAAATGGTTGTAAATGAGATGACATTTTGAGTCGGAATGTGATGTAGCAAATTAATACAATAATTTCTTGAACTAATTCATTGAATGATAGCCATAGAGATTCTAATTTCAGTATTATAACTGATTAAATGCATTCTTACCATTGTTATGGATGTAAGAGTTACCTTTTGGGATATTTTGTGTGATTAATCATGTTTCATGATAAAGGGTAAAATTTGAGAGGAATTTAAGTACCGAGTCCCAGTGTTTATGAAAATCGACAACTCTTGATATGGAATTAGAGAATCCTTGATGAACTTTGTTGAAAAACAAAATGTCCTGTTTGTTATTTCAGATGTCTATAAACTGTAAGTATACATATAGAAGTAAATAGTTAACGATATTATATTTTTTTAACTAGTTATTGTCGGTATCAACGACGGTCGGTAAAGACGTCAATGGCTCAGTGGTTATGCACTTGACTTGTAATCTACAAGTCTTAGGTTTGAATCCCGCCGTACTAATGTGATTTTCGATATTTCGGATTTTCATATGTACATAATGTTCCCGACGTTACGGTGAAGGAAAACATCGTGATGCAACCTGCATATATCGGCAAAGAAAATCAAAGATATGTGTGAAGTCAACCAACCCGCACTTGGCCAGCGTGGTTGACTATAGCCTAGTCACCTGAGGCTCCGAGCCCCTCGGTGGGGACGCATAGTGAGCTGGTGATGATGATGATTGTCGGTATCTCTCCAGATTAATTTATTCAAGTAATGTTTTCTGAATCTAAAAATCTCTTCATAATTCTCATATAGAATAAATATTATTTTGCTTAAAAATCTCCTTTAGAAAAAACGCAGCGAAAAAATTTGCAAAAATTTGTTTTGTCAATTTTAATCTAAATTTTAAATTGAAGTAATTTTAATAATAAAATTGATTTAACGCATATCAATTTGTAATAAAAGAAAAAAAGTGGATTTTCGTTTTCAAATTCATTTACTTGTATTGTAATTTTGGACAAGTAAGTACACACTTTCGTGGTTTTTTAATTGCCATAAAAGTTATCCGAACACAATTAAACGTAATTTTATTTTAATCTTTACCTTCTTAAATGGGAAAAAATTCAGAATTGTTTTATAAGTCTCATCTTAAGCATTTAAAATTTTAATTCTAAAAACATGTATTTTTAATTTTTTTTTCAGTTCAAAATGACTGCAATACAATTACTATTTCTTGCAATTATATCCATAATTGCAATCTGCGATGGATTTATATTGCCAAAAGAATCCAACGAAAACCTTAATCCTGCTGACCTCCTTTTAAACTCTATATCACTAATTGAAGACCTAAGAGGTATAGATGATTTAAAAAGAGTAGAAAGATCTGAAGAATCTGGCAGAGATGAAATAGCACCGAATACGCTACTAGATGAAGACTATTTAAGAGGTATGGATGACCTAAAGAGAGTAGAAAGGTCTCCAAGCACTTCGAACAAGTCGAGTGCATCATCCGACAGTAATAAGAGCTCCGCAAATCAAGGTAATTCTGATAGAAACAGTGTAGGAAGTGATGGTAATGCCCGTAAAGATGGTTCAAATTCGGACAAATCTTCGAGTAATCAAAGTTCTAAATCTAACAGTAATAATAAGGAAAAATCTCAGGATAATTCCAAAGATAACTCTGGAGACAATTCTTCCAAAAACTCAAAAGATGGTGATGATGGAAGTGGTGATGAAAATTCTATCAAATCTAAATTACAAGATCTACTGACGGTCCCGAATAGTATGAAGGAAGCATTCGAGCGTGTATTCAAATTATTCAGCAAAGGTGATGATGGTGGTAATAATAATGGAGGTTTTGATTTGTTCAAAATCCCAGAACTTCTTAATAAATTCAAAGGTCTTTTTGGCGGTTAACGTTTTAAAAATGTGTTAAATTGAATAAACATTTCTGCTTCTAATCTTGTGTATCGTATTTAATCTCCTAGGAGTAAGTCCTGCTCTGGTGTCAAGTTGTTGATCATATCCTAAGGGAATACATTTCTGATAGTACCTTCATTAAACAACTAAACAAAAGATATTGAGTACAACAAAATATATTTTCAAATTTCCAATTATGATGGCTATGTCATATTTTTCTTCCATACTAATATTATAAAGAGTATAGATTTATATTTTTATCTTTTTGTATGTATTGAAATAACTCAAAAACTTCTGGGCCTATTTTAAATTTTCTTTCACTGTTAGAAAGTTTAATTATCTGTGAGTAACGTAGGCTATAATTTTATTTTCACGCGGTCGAAGTCACGAGCAACAACTAGTTAATAATGCAAGAATTAAAAAATCAGCTCTAATTTTAATCTATATCAGAGAATTCTTTGACAATAAATTCAATTCGACATAACTTCGCGGTACATTAATCGGTCTATATGTTTACAAAAAGAACAATTCGTATGCGATTTAACTATGTCCATGCATTTTAGGTTAACTGGTAGAATTAAGAGTTTCCCTTCGAATATTAAAATATACTGTTGTTAATAATACAATGTCTGGTAATAATTAAAATTAACTAGTTAATATTTTAGTTAGATATTTAAGTGGTAGAGACCGCTTTAACAACTTCTCACGAAATGGTCGGCTCGTCCGGTGTAATACTACGATCACACAGAAAACAGAAGTGTAAGCAATTCCGCTTTTCGTCTAATAAGTGTGGCGCGGGAGGCCCAACTTTAGTCCCTTCCTTATAATCCTATTTCTTATCAAAGAAGGATGGGAAAGGAAATTGGATTTGACGGTGAAGGAGACTCAAATGAAGGGGATATATCCTCTTTATGTGCGTCTCCTCCTTCGTCAATGAAGGGTAGGCAACGCATCTACAATTTTGTGTAGCGGTCGCTTTCCATTTCGGCGGATTCAGGTGGCCGCTTGCTCGTTTGCAACCTTATAATATAAAAAAAAATAACTCGCATAGCAAAAAAGTCTATTTCTATGACGCATATTTTTTGAGACATTAGATGTCATTAAATTAATTTATATCGTTAATGTACAAAAAAAAATAGTTATGATGTATTTTATATTTGGCAGGTTTTTTACTTAAATTAAAAATAAATCGATGTACTAATATGAATACTATAAAAACACCTAAAATCAATTACATAAATGTGTCTTTATTTTTTTTAATTTTCATGCTTTCCACGTCATCCATTATCTATTACGTATTTGTATTTGTATTTGTCGTGAACTATGGTGACCTAGCAAATAAAAAAATGGTTTCAATAAAAACTTAAATTAGCAATTATTTACGCTGTTTCAATTTTCTTTTTAAATTGATTTCAGACTTTATAATGAATAAAATAAATATACGGAAATCCTATTTTGTAAACTCTAACATGGTACGATTGTGGGTGAGTACAATGGTCTAGATTCAATCATATTAAAAAAAAACTATAGTCTTATTCAGAATAAGTGGAATTTCATTCTGTATTTTTTATATATAGTTATATTGTATACGAGCTGTTCCCGTGCGGCTTTATTTTGTTATGTACATTTGTGAATGTTTCAATTGCAGTCAAAGTTCAAATGCACATGACAACGAAGGCCTTTGACATAGGATAACAAATACCGTTACCTGCAACCTTGAGTTCTTGATGTCATCTTGTAGTTTTTGGTCGTTTCCCACGCGTCGGTTTATCTAAATTATTTACACACAAAGTCTAATAGGGTAAAATATATAGCCTAAAGCGTGTCATACGTGTAGGGCTTTTTACAAAAGAAAGAGTTATTCAAAAATATTCTGTGTGTATTTACGCTTTATAGTTTTCGGTCGCGACTCTACTCGATTGGAGTTAAAAAAAAAACAAAAGTAAGTAGCCTATGTGTTCTTTCAGTCTATGCTCTAGATCTATGCCAAATTTCATCCAGATCCGTCTAGCCATTTAATCTACCAACTCTAACAAACATCCATTCATCTAAACTGTCGCATTTATAATGTTAGTAAGAATAGAATAAATTATTTTTCAGTAAAAATGTTTGGCAAACATTTGGCATTATTGGTGCTTGTCCTTGCAAACGCGGACTATAAAGTATCCAGTCTTCCAGTAGAGTCCAATGACAATGTTCTAACGCCGGACGTTTTACCCAATTTCGATGGCGTAATAGGAGGTGGTCATTTCAACTTACGCGACCTTGACGATACTGTATCATCAAGTAGACGTTTAGAAAAAGTAAAATCTACAGAGTTCGATCCCGCAACTGTCGTGGAAGTGTTAGAAAAATTAAAAAACGTACTCAATGCCGCACGAATTGAAGACGATCTACTTTCTAGAAGAGCTGACAAGCAATCAAAAAATTCGAAACATAGTAAAGATGATAACAGTCAATCAAAATCTTCAAATACTGTGAATAACAATAAAGGATCATCATCTAATTCAAGTACAGGACATGATAAGACTCAATCATCTAAATCACGCAGCTCAGGAAATAATAAAATTCAGCCGTCTAAGTCATCCAGTTCTGGCAAGGACAAAAACCAATCATCACAGAGTAACCAAAACCAATCATCCAAGAGTAACAAAAACCAATCATCACAGAGTAACCAAAATCAATCATCCAAGAGTAACAAAAACCAATCATCACAGAGTAACCAAAATCAATCATCCAAGAGTAACAAAAACC